GAATCGCCCACTTTTTATGCACTAACCAACTGCGATGAATAAAATCAACATAAATTTCCTAGCTGAATATCTTGTTCCATTCATAAATGCATTACATTATTGTAGTAAAACTTTGGCTTGCTAATGTTTCATGTTGTCCTAAAGCCTCCGGACATTAGCGTGTTTCCGTGTCTGTTATTAAAGGTGTTTGAGCAGAGGGAACCCACAGTGTGATGTTTCCTAATTGAATACCCTGCAGCATGGGGTGAAAGCAGCACCTGCCAGCCCCGGTTAAGCTTGTTATGGTCTGTTGCTGACATTTGAATGTTTTGGGGGATGTGTGTTTTAATGAGCCAGTTATGACTGCAATATAAATGAGCAGATTCTGTTGGCGCTGTCGGTTTTGCCTCCTTTAATGAAACAGTAGATACGTCTGTGTGTTGAGATTGGGTCTGTGTGAATAGTAAATGCTTCAGTCAGGTGAATGCTACTGCCCAGTTATGACTGCAATATAAATGAGCAGATTCTGTTGGCGCTGTCGGTTTTGCCTCCTTTAATGAAACAGTAGAGACGTCTGTGTGTTGAGATTGGGTCTGTGTGAATAGTAAATGCTTCAGTCAGGTGAATGCTACTGCTGGATCCTCTCATGGACTGCAATGAAGAATCCATGATCATAAATATAACTGCTGTGCTCAGCATCAGCCCCATTAGCTAGCAAATGGCTGTGGAACAAGCAAGAAGCAAACAGTCATGAATTAAACAGGAAAGAATCCAAGCTGCAGCCAAGAGCAAGAATTATCCCACAATACCCAGAAAATTGTTTTTCATTACATGGGTAATTTCAATACCTAGAAAGCTAATTTTTTAATTTGAATGCGCTTTTTCTCCCTCACAAACAAGTTCTGTAATTATAGTCCATAAATCTCCCTTTTCATATTCATGTTTTTGCCTTTGCCTGAACTGACCTGAGGCGCTGCTGCTGTTTTTTCTCTGTTCTGCATCTAACTGGGTCAGTCTCTCACCTCAGTTTGAGGCCATCGGTGGCCATGTTTGGTATTCTGTTAAATTCACTTTGAGACCAGATGTTTTCTCTAGAAACCTCATCCAAGTCTTTATCACCCACAACTCTCTGTGAATGCGGGTCACAGTCCAAACGAAACTATAATGTGTTAGGAGTTATGAAGGAAATGCCTTGTGCACAGTATTTAGTTCTGCGGCAGTAATGATGCTGTTTGAATACAAATTTTGAAGGTGAAGTGTGTCATTTTTTAATGTAAAAATACTTTGTGTCTAATATGCAAAGATTGCAGGAGATTCTGCATAAAATTACTTTCTGTGGTTTGGTTATGCTATTCATTTATGTTAAAATGGTTGGTGTTCTCTGCATGTTTATTTTGTATATAAAAATTAATGACGTACATGTAGACAAAAAGGCAAGACAACATGAAAATCAGTAACAAATTCAAATCATTTCTATAATTGCTTGTCCAAAATACATATTAGAAGTACAAACAACACATTACAGTACGCTAACACAAAAATTAAAACAATGGCTTTAAACTTTTCCCAAGTTCGAGTATATTTATTTAACAACTTAATGGCTTGCAGTATGAATGATTGCTTTGCTCCATTTCTGCAATATTCTGGCATCTTAAAGCTTCAGCCTGAGGGGAAAAACTGCCGTTCTGAAACGAGTGGGTGCCTGCAAACTGCAAACTGCTTCTGTGCTTTGCTGTGAGATCTAGCTTTATGTATTTGTTCAAGGTCACACAAGGCGGTTTGCTGTGGTGTGATGTTGTATATGGATGTTTTATTACCTTGAATGCAGGCATGTTCACATCTCTTTGACATCTGAGTCCAAATCAAATCTGAAGTCTTGTTTCACAAGTCAAGTCTCAAATTCCATGTGGTAATAGTTTTACAAGCCTTTTCACATGGCAATGTCATGCATTTTTAGGATTTTCCTTGTTTATTACATTATATTGATCTAAAAGAACATTTATAATGTTTTACAAATCTTTTAATACCATTCACATTTTTAAATGAGTGTTTATTTATTGCCTAGGTGGCAAGTGAGGGGCCAGTTACCTTAAAAAATAAACAATGAACAATGTTTATGTGTTTATTCTTCTGTAAATGTCCACTCAGTAGGAAAGTTTTGTTGTCCCTATAGTAAATGGATGTAACTACCACTCTAAACGTGCCCCCATGATGTGTAGTTACCTGTATTTATACCTTTAGCATCAGATCATGCTTTATGTGGAAAAATGTTTGTCGTGTGCTATTTTTGTCCTATCCTTCATGCTAAGGAATATGGCATCAAATGACCATGACAGAGAGTGTCCAGAGAACACATTATTGTCAGATTATTCCAAAAATAAACTTTTGGAGCCAAACATGTCATGTGTCTCGATTCAGTTATTTGTGAATCTACGTCTCATGCCAATTTTAGTGTGATTAAAGTGTGGCTTTGTGAATCGGAGACTCCTTGAATTTATAATCACAATGTCCTTGTGAAAAATAAGGATACTTAATTGTATTGAATGTGCACTTGTAGTGTACTTCAAAGTATTTTTTTTAATAAAACTGTACTTGCAGATAATATTAATGAAATAAAAGGCCACTTAAGTGTGAGACACTTTCATGACTGTTTCTTAAAGTAAAAATGCACGTTGTGATAAATTAAAATGTTTATTTATAGTACATTTTAAATCATTGTTTTAATCATCTTTTGTCATGCTTTAAAGAAGTGCACTTGTTTTGATATGCTGACTAATATACTGACTAATAATCACATGTAAAGTGATGATAGATTAAGATTATAATTTTAACTCTATAGTGTTTTTTGATATTACATTTAAAGTTAATATATTTTAAAAGTACTCAATTGCCATTTCATCATTACAAATGTGTAATGACAAGTATATTTAAAGGGTTAGTTCACCCAAAAATGAAAATGCTGTCATTAATTACTCACCCTCATGTCGTTCTAAACCCATAAGACCTTCGTCCATCTTCGGAAAACAAATTAAGATATTTTTGATGCATTCCGAGAGCTCTCTGACCCTGCATTGACAGCAAGGATCCTTATACGATCAAGGCTCAGAAACGTAGCAAGGAGATCGTTAAAATAATCCATGTGACATGTGAAATCAGTGGTTCAACCGTAATTTTACGAAGCTACGAGAATACTTTCTGTACGCGGATACGTTTTCTACGTTGTTTACGCTTTGATTTGAACGAAAACAATGAATCCGTGTGACGCAGCTGACACAGAACAGCATACGCTGTTTACGTTCAGTGGATACTCTCCAAAATGGCACCAGGGTGATGCGGAGGAGACGAATTGTTGAATAAAGTTGTTATTTTAGTTTTCTTTGTGTACAAAAAGTATTCTCGTAGCTTCGTTAAATTACGGTTAAACCCCTGATGTCACATTGATTATTTTACCTATCTCCTTGCTACGTCTCTGGACCTTGATTGTGGTAATTACATTGCTGTCAATACAGGGTCAGAGAGCTCTTGGAATGCATCAAAAATATCTTAATTAGTGTTCCGAAGATGAACGAAGGTCTTACGGGTTTGGAACGACTTGAGGGTGAGTAATTAAT